AACAACAAACAATAACATGTATATACAGAATGAATTTTGATTATACTGTATACTGTAATTTGTAAATTCGCGGCCATTTTAAGATATTATGAGGCTTCTAGCTTAATGTCATCACACAAATATGGATGTAGAATAAAAACAGTAATAAACCTGAAACAATACAGGACCGGTGTTTTTACTTGTCCGTTTCATAACATTCTGTCCTTCCACTTTTAATTCACTTCGTATTGAATCAGGTAAGGTAACTATGGGCGATCTGCAAGGAGAAGGTGCCTCCTGAAAGGACTTTCTACGGGAAATTGGGCCCTGTTAAGGTGTTAGACACGTGGCCGAAAATCAGGAGAGTTCTAGGACGACATGGAGATATGCTCCTGAAGGATTTTCTATAGAAAATTGGGCTCTAAACATGGTAAAACTCCACGCAGCCAGGCTCGAATCCGATACTAGTAGTGTTTATTGGTTTCATCCATTACGAAGGCACACTAAATAATGATTTAAATAACGATAGATTTAAAAAACTAGGCCTTAGCCTAGAGTGAAGAACCCCCTAAGTTGGGGTCCGCGTAAGAATCGAATTTAACACACTTTTCCTATTTTTTTATGAAAAAAATGAATACGAAGATCGTATAAAATAGTTCAAGTATGACATGTCGATTATAGAACAGGGCCTGAAGAAATTATTTGGAGGTGGGGGGGAATTCTTAAACTCATTTATCGTAATAAATAGTTTGCACGGGAATAATCCCAAAGAATCCACGTGTTTTAATGTATTCGATAGGCTTTTTAGTCTGCTTCTGCCTTCAATTTTCTTCGTCTAAACATGAAGTTTATGACTACATCGTGGGTGAGTTTCATTTATTTTATTATAAATTCTCATCTATTATATTACATACAATACAATCTTGTATCAAAGTGTATCTACGGATCGTTCGAGAAAGAAATGACTCGAGTTCTTTATGATTCTGTTGAAAGGAAGCCCAATTTACCACACACCAAACGAGCTGTATCGTAGGGCCTGGCCTTTTAAATTTATTATTTAATGTAAGGCCCCGTTATTAAGGCGTATGTTTATAAGTCTAAATCTTTAAAAAACACCTCAAATTAAATATGGTATCTTTAATTCGTCTTAATAGGAATCTTATAATTTATCTTAATAGGAATCTTAAGATTCCTATTAAGATAAATTATAAACTAGTAACGTTAATGATTAGCTTTTGTGTAATTTTGTATAGTAATACCTGTAAATAACCCTCCGAATAACGGCCATCTATTAAAATGGCCGTTATTCGGAGGTAGTTTTGTATGCATTTCATAAAGAAATGTTCCATTAAAACACGTCAGATATAGCCGAACCCTCTAACAGCGGCCACCTGTAAACTGATATTTAGAAGGCCTCCTTTCCTTATTCCCTTCAGCTTCTAGAGAAGAAGGAAAGGAGGCCCTCTAAAGAAGTTGAAGGAGATTGAAAGGAGGTCCTCTACCTTTTGCCCATCTGACTAAGGCACCCATCAGTGGCCGAGTGAATAAAACTACTGAACGTTGGTCGTTGGTCGTTGTTTCACGCCTCTCCAAGGTGCGGTTAACCGGGTTTTCTTTACGTTTGTAACACCTAAATAGGGGCCAATTTCCCATAAAAGACCACCAGGGAGGCAGATCGTCCGTCGTGCTGCTGTATTGGAATAAAATCTAAATTTGACTAAGTTCCGAGCCATTTATCTTTACGAGGGCCCCAGCAGACTCAAAAAAATCGGCAATATTTCGCATTTACGGGGGCCTCGACAATTGTTACAAATAATTCATTCTACTGTATTTGTTGTTACGTTAATTTGACAAAATATAAAGGTGTTTCTTTATTACTGATTCGATGATTTAATATAATTGAGGCCTCGGGAAGGTGATTCGGGCCTCTCTTGGCCTTCGAAAGGCCATGCGTGAATAGAAGAACGTATACAACTAACGCGAGGTAGCCTAGATGCGGGCATTGTTCGTAATACACTGAATGTAAGGAAAGCCAGCGGGATGCAAAAGGGGCAATCCTGGCATCCCTGCATCTTGCCCATAGTATAAAGGATGCCTTTATGTGTGTGCGATCCAATTCCTGTTATAAAGTTCTTAATAGAACTGATCAATTTCGTGTTATAGAGACTTGTACCTGTATGATCTTTATGTAAATCCGTATCGTTTAACTTTATCCTTGAGGAATGAGGTCATATGTCATCTATACTGTCAATTATATTATTTTCTGTATGTATTATCCCCGCTAACAGAGCGTATCAATTTTTCCTCTAGTAGATTAATCCCTCCCTCGCTCGAACTTCCGAAAAGCTTTTAATTAAAATTTAATAAAAGAAACACTATAAAATAAAAGGCCCGAATTCATTCGACTGACGTTAACGTAAAGGTCAATTCTTAGAGAGAGGCCCTACCGTAAACGGTGTAAAATTCCTATAAGCATTTGTTACAAATGCTTTCAACGGTCACGTAAGGGGGAGACCTCAAAAATATACGAAAATCTATGGAAATTAATTAAGTTCAAATTTTTTAGTTCATAAACTGCGTAAAGAACACTTGGAATAAGTAGGTGACACGTAGTTAACAGAGCGTTTAAAGTGACAGTACATTTATGCATCATTTTAATCTGCAAGCTTTTACGTATTGTGGAGGAATGCCAAAAAAAGTGTCAAAGGGTCAAAGTTCTCGTGTTTCCTAATTTATATCCATAGGAAGTGGGTTCCGTTTCCGGGAGTACACCCTCTAGTATCGAGAGTAGGCACTAGATGCCGTCGCAAATCCTACCCATCGTGGGTTTGGTCAGGACCAGAATGGGAGAAGCAGAATTGTTAGAAAGAGGGTCGACCATTTGAATGGATCACCTACGCAGCAGGGCCTCACACGTTGCGGGGGCATTCGACAATGTCTGGTAGCAATCCATTGTGGAAGGCTGCTTACGATTCAGAGACCCTCCGCCTTACGGGTAACGAAAGCATACAAAACTGTGTCTACGGAGGCGGTCCTGGTGTTGGCCAGTCTGCTGCCGTTGCCTCTGTTAGCCAAGAGGCAGCCTTCTAAGAACAATCGTGTGGAAGGTATAGAGGCTAAGCATTGTAATCAGATGTACCCAGTCAGACTTAGACGTCAGACAGATGTACTAAGAGCCCATCCTGCCCATAGAATAGGACTAGACTGGGATGTCGGTGAACCGACAGACGACAGTGTTAAAATATACACTGATGGCTCTAAAGACGGTAGCTTAGTAGGTGCTGCGTACTGCGTCTTTTCTGATGGAGTACAAATGTACAGTCAGCTGGTCAGACTGAACGAGAAGGCGTTTGTGTTCCAGGCGGAACTGGTGGCCCTGGAGGTGGATCCTACAACATCCAGGTCCAGAGCCGATTACGGTTTACTCTGACAGCCAGTCGTCGCTTCAGGCCTTGAGCAACGGTTACCACAGGGACGAGACAGATCAGAGGTCGGGTACTGAGAGCGAGGTACGCACGACACGTTACCCTGAGGTGCTCCAGTGTGTTGTAATTGGCTTATGACGAACGCAAATTCTGATCGGAAACGGGAGGTTCCCCACTTCAAGTCCAAGTTCGAACAAGATGTTAGCTGCTTCTGTGGATGCCCTCGTGGCGACGTGAGGCACTATGTACAGTACTTGACTGTCCTCTTAGAAAATAAAAGGGAAGGCACTGCTAAAATATCATATAATATGTCTTTTACGACTCCACATCATCGCATTCACTGTCAATATCTAGTTTGAGTTTTTGCCATCTTACATTTATTCTATTTGTCAACCTCTAACCCATTTTCTGCTGTAAATATGAACCTAAATAGTTGAAATTTCTGTTTTAAACTCATCTAATTCTTTCTCTTTTCTCTCACTAACAGCCCAAATCTTAATTCCATAAACTAAATCTTCTATCGACTTTTTAATCCCCTTCTCTGTAAATCAGTTCCTAACTTTTTATGGATCAACTTTAATTACTTTCTATCTCATTAACACAATATCAATTGCGAATAACATATACCATAGCTCATTTCTCACCCCATCCTGCAATGATTCGCCTAATACAGTATTAATAAAATAAGATATGGGCTTAAACTCGATAAACTATAAAGTCTATCCTAAACCCCTAAAAAAAATTATTTTCAATACTTTCCTTGATATTCGAGTAAATTTTTTTACGAAATTTCACGAAATTTATCAGACAGAAGACCTTATAAATAACGTTACGTCATCAACGACAACAATTAAATTGCAGCTTTAGCGGCGATTGTTACCGAATAGACAATACAAACGTCAATTGTTGCCGACGCCATTTTCGTATCGCCGGCAGTTTCCAAGAAAAATACCGAAATTTTTTTCTAGTTTTAAAAGAAATAACGAAAGAAATAGCTGAGAAATTGTAGAATAATAAAGGGAAAAGGGAAAGACAGAAACACCGTATTTTAGTAAAGGAAATAAAATTGAACCATTTACCATGGCGAAATCAAAGCTGTACAAATGGCATCGCAGACAATGAACGTTCTTCGACTTCACGGAACAAGGAAAATGTTGAGTTGGTCTCTCAGTATGTTGGCAAAGATGGTCGCCAAACCCTTGAAAAAATTGCTGCGGCTACTCACTTATCAAAGACTAGTTGCCAGCGTATTTTAACTGAAAATCTTAACATGCAACGAGCAAAGGAAAAGTCATGATGAAGGTGTTTTTTTTTTATTCTCAAGGAATTGTTCGTTTAGAATTAATTCCCAAAGGCAGAACAGTAAACAAGGAGCATTATCTAGACATTTTATGTCGTTTGAGGGAATTTATTCGTCGTAAATGGCCACAGATCTGGCAAAGTGGAGACTGATACCTTCTGCATGACAACTTAATGTGCTTCAACACCCCCGCCTATTCACCGGACTTAGCCCTGTGTGATTTTTATTTGTTTCCATCAATGAAAAAGCATTTGCAGGGAACGCTGTTTTGTGTCATCAGATGAGGTGAGAGCAGCATCACAGGAGGCCTTACGGGAGATTTCAAAAAATGGCTTCACATAAAAAATTTAATAAATAAGCATATTCATTGTTTCGATCTACATTGTTAAAGAAACAATATTTATCGGAAGACAATGAAAAATATTGTTTCGGTATTGTAAAAGATTTACTTGGCAATTATTTCCGAGTCTAATCGTTTGGACTTTCGCAAGGCTATGGACTTTCTATTAGTACAACGGTTGAGTGCCCAGGAGCACGATTGCACCCGTACGTGGGACCCGGGAACTCAACCGTTGTAGCAATTGAAAGTCTATATCCTTGCGAAATTTTAAACGAGGGGGGGATTTTTTTTCAAAAACGAATTTTTCCAAATTTCCAAAACTTCCGCCGAGGCGGCTGACCAAGTCGACTGGTCTAAATCTTCTGAACAAGTAATTCGAACGCTGGCAGCTAGTAAAGGAAGCTTAAATTAACTAAAGGAATTGATTGGGAAAGTAATAGGTCTCTTCGACCTATAAGCTCAGTGGATGCGCTGGGCTTATAGGGAAGGGGACACCGCTGACCGTTACTAAGAGCTGGATTCCCTTTGGTAAAGTGCTTTATGTGAAGAACAGGCTGCACCAAAAACGTATGTCTAAGTAGGAGGGTTGGACTTGAGAGTGAGGAAGTCAAGAAAGACAATGAAAGTTAGTGGTCTCTTCTTGGGTTACACCAGAGCCAGAGTCAGAGCCGAAGCATTTATCTCAGGTTCGACTTAAAATAGTCCAAGACCCGGTAGCTGCTGGGTATCAGACCAAGCCTACAATACCTAGTCTCTTTGTACTCTGTAATGCCACTTGGCAGAACAGAAGCAAATTGCTTAGAGTTTGTTGTATGAGGATCACCCGAGGAAAATTCTTTGGGTTGTGTTGCAATATAGTTCATAAAATGCTGGATTGGATGAATTAATTAAGAAATAAGGCAATGCAACACGTGGACGATCTGAATAGGAGGATTGACAAGGGAGGTACTTCTTGGCAAATCGCCTATGTTCTCACATGGCAAAAATCTTAATAGTTAACTGACTTTTGGACCAAGCTATATTTAAAAATATAAAATATCAGCTGTTGCATTTCATAGGTTTGCTTCATTAATAAAAATTTAATTCATTCTTTATTTTTTTTAGTTGGAAGCGGATCTGCCGGATCGGTGGTGGCTAGTAGGCTGTCGGAGGATCCGAATCACAGTGTTTTATTGTTAGAGGCTGGGATAGAACCTAATAAATTGTCATACATCCCTCTCATGCCGCTTATTCAGAATGCGGATCTGATAAATCCACCGAACTGGGGATACAGGGTCCACCCACAGAAACGAAGCTTTTTTGGTTTTCACCACAATGTAAGTTCATAATTTTATTGGATCATTGAGAAATCAAAATTTAATTATCTTAATTATTCATTCTTGGTTACTTTCAAATTCTGTTCGTGTTCCATGCTGCCCACTAGTGGTGCCGAGTGAATAAAACTAGTAAGAATTGGTAGTGGAGGCGCAAACACACAAACCAGTTGGTCGTGGCTCGCCACAGGCTGGCCACGTGGAATTTTCCCGGTTTTCTTCAGCACCTAAATAGACTCCAGTTTCCCATAGAAAATCTTCCCGTGAGGCATCACCCAAATGTCACGTTCGTTGGCGTATACAAAGAAACAATCCTCGCTATCCACCAGTGGCAAAAACCATTGAACATTGGTCTTGGGTTCGCGTGTGGTTGGATGGAGTTTTCTTCACTTGTCTAACACCAACTAGGGACCATTTTCCCATTTAAGTCTTTCGTGAGGCACTGAGGCACCCTTTCTTGGCAGGTTACACGCGTGTTGCACAGACTTATCTCGTTAATCCTGAAATCCCTCTAAATTGGGTACTTTTAATTGGATCAGATGAACATTTTTACAGTATTTTACATATAACCATTAATTTGTTTCAGTCTCCCCCATGGTTAGCTGGCAGAGTTCTAGGAGGAACCAGCAATTTAAACTTCAATCTATACGTTAGAGGTCAAAGAAAAGATTACGATTTGTGGGCCCAACAAGGAGCAACCGGATGGAGCTGGAAGGATATATTCGGATACTTTATCAGAGCAGAAAATAACATCAATTACCATAATGGTAATGCTTAATTAAATTTAAAAAGAAAACAGTGAATAAAATTAGATTTTAAATTAATTTTTTTTTACTTTTTAGAATTTCATGGAGTAGGAGGTCCATTGACTGTTTCTCATTCGCCGTATTACAGTCCATTACTGAAAAATTTTTTGGGTGCAACCAGAGAGATGGGTCTACCCATACGTGATTTTAATACCGATCGACACGATTGTGAGTAATCGATTTAATTAAAAGAATCTTACTGGACATTTTCTAAAGAATATGCATATAATCGTAAGAGAAATGAGATTCAATGGGTACCACAGATACATATTGCAACTACCATTGAACTGTGTAATATATTGAAAATTATGGGTTGTTAACCCGTCTGAATATGATCCAGGATCCCTCAGAGCGGTAGGATACCACCTTAACTGCTCGGCCATCCGTTGAATCGGTGAGGTTTTAATGAGTATCTGTTGTGAAGGATTTTTTCGTAATACCCACTGAATTTTATGTTTCAGTAAGTAAAACTTACTTAAGAAGCATAAAATTCAATGAGATTTTCGTGGTTCTATAGTTTGATAGACATCGAGTACCATTGTAATCTATACAATATATACTAAATTTCATTTCCCTCGTAGTTATAGTCCAGTTCAGGATCTCTTATGGGGTCTTTAATATATTCTCTTTCCTTTCCTCACATTGAATATATTCCGACATTATAAATTTCATGTATTGTGCAATATGAGCAATTCTCAGTAAATTATTTGCATTTATTCTTTATTTTACAGCATTTTATATTAGTCAAGGGACCATCGAAAACGGAAAAAGGAAAAACTCTTATACAGCATACATCAAGCCAAACTTGCATCGATCTAATTTAAGAGTGGTGACTTCAGCACTGGTTACTAAGGTAGTGTCATATAAACGTCTAACACAGTTTTAAAACTTCGAATCTCTATGGGTTTGTACTTTAAACACCTGGATTTTCACTGAAAATACTCGGAATAACACGGGATTTTATGCAGATTTTAGTTAAAACTGCCAGCGAGTAGCACTAGAAGAGACGTGCCCACCTGTGACGGAGTAGATAAAACCACAGAACACCAGTAATTGATCGCGAGTTTGCGCCTGATTCAACAGGCTGGCTGAGTAGGCTTTTCGAGTTTTCAACGTGGGGTTAATGCAAGGACCACTCATAATGGCTTGATAAAAAACGCCTCTCTTAGTGCCCATGGGGCAGAAATTAAATTGTATTTCCGTAAAAAACACGTGTTTAAAGTCAAAATTTACCGAGATGAATTTTTAAAAGTTGTGTTTGACGTTGGTATTGCCTTCTATATATTCCATATTTATAAGAAGGCCCTAAATTTTCCAAATTTGTTCTTTAATTAGATATTAATAGATGAATTTAAAGAAGCGAAAGGAGTGAGTTACGAATATTTTAACGTTACAAAAATAGTATACGCTAGAAAAGAAATAATCATCTCTGCCGGAACAGTTAACACTGCAAAACTGCTTATGCTGTCTGGAATAGGGCCTCGCCAGCACTTACACGAATTAGGAGTAAGTAGAAATGGGTAAAAAGTAGATATAAATTTTTTATTTCTTGTATTAATAATCTAAATAAGTTGCCTGTTTTTAGATTCCAGTCGTAGCCGATTTGCCTGTCGGAAAGAATTTTCATGACCATGTCACCACTTCTGTCATTTTTACAATAGATAAACCATATTCTTTACACGCGCTATCACTCACGCCAAAAGATATTACGGACTATAAAGTTCATGGAAGATGTAGGATTTTCAATAGTTATAAATTTATAAATACGGGATGGCCCATCAACTGAACCATCAGTTACATATACAAATCTTACTCAAATTGGTGTTTAGAGCCAGATTACAATATGTGAAATTGGACGTATATTGAAAACATTGTAACAAAAGATATTTGAGAAAGATTTGTATATCTGTTATAATAAGCTTGGTAGGACATCCTGTGACATATCTTATTAACTTTTATCTAAATTACAGGTCGTTTGACTTCCTTAGCTGGGGTGGAAGTCTTAGGATTCTTGAGGACTTCCGTAGAAAAGGAAGGTTGGTCGGATATTTTAGTTGCCATTGCTGCAAATTCATTATTATCTGATACAGGTTTGCCTCTTCTTACACCTCAAGTGGGTCTTAGAAAAGATGTAAGTGTTTTTAAATTATCTTTTTTTTGAAAAATTATATACAGAAAGTCCGAAAGACAGTTAACTGTGTAAATCTCTCAAACATGGTATCAAATATTACAGGTATACATCAATGCATTTAGCAGGTATAAATTCAAACATACTATTTCCTGTACCCCAATTTTTGTACGTCCGAAAAGTCGCGGTATCGTTAAATTGAAGTCTGACGATCCCTTTGATCAGCCCATAATTAATCCCAACTATTTTGCCAAAATAGAAGATCTCCTGTCTTTGATAGAAGGTAGGGACCTGAATTCTTTACTGTATTTTAGTCAATTGTCTTACAAATTATACATTGTAGGTGTGAAATTCTGCAAAGCCTTCGGGAGGACACATTCCATGAGAGAAGTTGGGACGAAGGAAATTAAATCTGTATTCCCTATGTGTGATCATTTCCCTTACAACAGCGACGAATACTTGGCGTGTGTGTTAAGAGTATTCACAGGTAGCCTTTACCACGGTAGCGGTACTTGTAAGATGGGCGATCCTTACGATCCTAGGACAGTTGTAGATCCAAGTCTAAGGTAAGAAGAAACTTGGATTTATGAAGAACATTTTGTATTAAAATTAATTAATCACACATTATTATTTTAGAGTAAAAGGCATAAGGAATTTGAGAGTGGCAGATTGTTCGGTGATGCCTACTCTAGTGGCAGGATTGCCTCATGCAACGGCTGTCATAATTGGAGAAAAGGCAGCGGATTTAATTCGTCTTGAACCTTATAGTTGACCTTTACAGATTTTAATTGTTTTATTCTCCTTTATTGTTTGCATGTAAAGTATACAGATTAACCTAAACAGTCAGCAATCTATGCGTTGTCAAAATATAATTTGTATATTCGGAACCATTTTAAGATTTTATGAGGCCTCTAGCTCAATTTTTACAGGCATCACACGATTACATTGGAATCCGGTTATTATAATCATAGATAATGTTATCAATCGGCTCCAATCGATCCCAAAACACTATATAAGAGTAATCCGCCTATTACAATCATACTTCGGCTATTGTTATCACTGTATATGTATGTATACAGTGATAAGTGAGTATGTATGTATGTATATATATGTATACACTGGGGATATTCGTACACATTCGTACTGTATTTATTAGCAATAAACTGTACTGTATTCAATAATAAATATTGTTATCCTTTGTTTAATATTATCCGCCGGTTATTGTTATCAAAGTTGCAAGTCTTATAATGGATTTCTTTGTATTAATTGGTCGTTGGTCGCGGGTTTGTGCCTAATTAAGGGGAGTTTTCCGGGTTTACTTCACGTGTCTAACACCTAAATAAGGGCCAGTTTTTCCATAAAAGTCCTCCGTCCCTTCACAAATTGATGGAATAAGGTAACGCAACACCCTGGCAATCCAGTCAAAATAAGGCAGCAATTTAACCTATACACGGGTTAAGTGACTTTTGGGTCTCTCTGTGGTGCGACCCAAAAGTCAGTTAACTATTAATTAGCATTCGTATACTTAAATAATTATGAAAAAGTATCAAATAAAAATGTTTATCCTAATTTAAATACCTCTTTTTCCCCCTAAGAGTCAAATTATAGTATAATTTTACAATTAAGAAAACGTTTATATGTTAATTATAAGTCTGCAAAAGTTTATATAATCGTCAACAGATGGCATTGAGATCGATTTCTCTTGTACACTGTTGCCAGATTTTCTTTTATTTTAAAAACGAGTGGTAAATTTACTCTGTTCCTTACAGAATAATTTTGAGACATATTTTATGACATTTTACCATCGTTTTATTGCATTAAAATGAGTATAATTTATGTTAATTACGAAATTCTAAATTCCTAAAAATATATTATATAATAAAATTGACTTTTGGGTCATGTTCTCTTTTACATAATTCAAAAATCCATTTAGAGATTTAAATATAATATAAATAAGTCACGGTCTAAGATACCTTTAGAATTACAAAGGACACGGGTCATCACATTAGAAATCACTTTGTAATGTTACAAACTGGATATTTCTTGACCCCACTGCGGGTCAGACCGGCCTCTAATGCGTATAATTATTATGATTATTCAAACATTAGGATTGTTTTTAATACAGGGTAATTCAAAATACCTGTGATTCCCATAACAACAGGCGTGTTAGCGTGTGTTAGTCATAGATAGGAGGGATGTATTCGTTTGAACATTTAGTAGCGAAATGGTGCTCAAATAGATCGTATTCTATGTAATTGAATTGGCATTAGATTCTATGTAATGGCAAGCAGTTAAGGAGTCAGAATGCCGCTCCTTAACATTTAAATAGTGTTACAAACATGAAGAAAATCCGGAAAACTCCACGCGGTCAACCCATAGTCGAGGCATGAACTCACCGGAATTCAGTTGTTTTATCCAATCGGCCAATATGGGTCCTTAAGAAGAACAAAATAAATTATCATTGAAAAAAAAATTCCATAAAGTCTTTAACGAGAGCCATGTCTATTATTATAAACGGAAATTATGGCCCTAATCGTTTCCATTATCATCATTACAATCGCTTTTTCCCGCTTATAATATACTTATCACGCATATTACGAAGGTTGTTTACATTAGAACATTCATGATTCTTGCTACCTGCAAATTAGTGACTGAAATGCCATTTTACAAGATGTGATTTAAGTAAATAAGTGTAATTTCTTGCTCGTGACAAAGAAATTTTAATGCTAAATTCGGGAATGATTTTATAACAAAGTACTAGCATTGAACGTTCGAGTAATGATTCTTCTATTAAATATAACTGTGTTTATATATAAGCTTGAGAGGGCCTCGCTACACTTTAGGGCCTACTCAAAAGTCCAGCACTATAAGAAGACAGTATAGGATCCAGTACGTGGCAATTGGGCCAATCGTGTACTGTTACACGAGTTTAAAATCTTCACTCCTAGAAAGGGTCCTGAGAAAGGCCCTCGTATGTACTAAAGATTAGGATCACAAGTCTAAATCAGGCTCTGAATATGGCACAGAGGGTTAACAGATTTCTTCCTTTCCAATAAGCAAAAAAAGGGGCTAAAAATAATAATAATAAGTAAATTTGCCCAACAGTAACTTCACGAATCACAATTTCTCGTGTATTAGCTATTATGTTAATTAGAACTGACTAAATAGGAACTTATAAAACAATAGATGAACCTTGACAACGTAACCCCATTAACTCGAAATAACTAATAATAATCAATTTTACGAAGGAAAAAAAAATAATAAATATATAAAATTATCTTCTTTACTGTTTAAATGTTTTAGCCATTTTTTTCTCCATAACTTTTGATGGCACGCTGAGTTGCCATTGTCGTATCAAATATGTCATTGTATGCCCTTGTACTTTAATGGTATAGAAGGATCTACCAATGGAGTCCTCCTGGGTATCATTACATCAAGAGGGAATCCTCCTGGGTAACATTACATCAAGAGGGAATCCTCCTGGGTAACATTACATCAAGAGGGAATCCTCCTGGGTAACATTACATCAAGAGGGAATCCTCCTGGGTAACATTACATCAAGAGGGAATCCTCCTGGGTAACATTACATCAAGAGGGAATCCTCCTGGGTAACATTACATCAAGAGGGAATCCTCCTGGGTAACATTACATCAAGAGGGAATCCTCCTGGGTAACATTACATCAAGAGGGAATCCTCCTGGGTAACATTACATCAAGAGGGAATCCTCCTGGGTAACATTACATCAAGAGGGAATCCTCCTGGGTAACATTACATCAAGAGGGAATCCTCCTGGGTAACATTACATCAAGAGGGAATCCTCCTGGGTAACATTACATCAAGAGGGAATCCTCCTGGGTAGCATCACATCAAGAGGGATGCCTCCCAGGAGGACTTTAATGAGAAACTGGCCTTTAGATGTGTTAGACACATGGAGAAACCCGGAAAACTCTACATGCCCAGCCCGTTGCGAAGCGCGAACCCACGACTAACAATTAGTATTCCGATGGTTTTATCTACTCGGCCGCTGGTGGGCCTTCTAGGAAGTCCATTATAGGTTAGGCCAAGGTGATTAGGGGAGTGGGGCCCGACATATCCGGACGGATCGCCCTCCAAAAACTCCTGGGTTTTGTCCACCCGTCCGGTATCGATACCGGATCTCCCACACAGCAGTAGACTGCCTGGAAGGGTGTAAACAACAATATTTTCCTCTGTTGGGAGTAGACAGAAGCGTTATATCGAAGATGAAAAATTCAAACATTCGTTTATCACGTGCCACAACGTAATTTCGCATTAACCGGTTGGCATTTAATGTTAATTGTTAGTTAGTACGAAAAAGTGATTTCGATAAAAAGCATTCCATGAAAAGTCATTACACAATTGGGATGTGTTTATGCAGTTTCGACACAATTAAGTGGGTCGTCAGACGTGACGTAAATTTCGATGACTCTAATAGAAAAATAACAATGGATAGGGGGGTCATCCGATCGAAAAGTGGACAGCGACATTGTTTTTTTTCCCCTATTAAACTCGCCCTTTAGTCCTGATTTTCTGGTGTCTATAAATAACTATTAAATGTGGGTACGATTGATTTATATTTAAAGTATAGTCACACAATTATGGAAGGTTTAAGTGGGTAATGATAATTTAAATTGGGAAAATTTGAAGTGTCCAGGAAGTTGGTGCGAAAATTGAGGGAAATTACGGGGTGTTGAGGGGAGAAATTAGTTAAGGAGGAGGAGGAAATTGCGGAAGGTAGTGCGAAAATGAGGGGATGGGGAGAGAGTGAGGAAAAATGACGAAGCCAGCGCGAAATCTGGAGGAGGAAACGGGGAATATTACGGAGGAAGATGAGGAAAATGGTGGGAAAATGGGAAAACTTGCGATGGAGGTGAGAGAAATGGAAGAAAAATAAGAAAAATTGAGGAAAATGTGAGAAAATCGAAGGGAAAGTGAGAAAATTAGGGAAAAAATTAAGGAGAATTGCAGAATCAGCTTCAGACTCCATTTAAATCTAAAATTAGTTTTAAAAAAATATATAAAAAAATCTAATTCCAAATTCTCAAATTTGAAATAATTAAACTTTACACAGACGGATTTACGGTAAATTTCCTTAAATTTCCCTTACATTACCAGTCAAAATAGCCATTAATTGTCTGGCAAACGTACAAAATCCTCGACTAATTAACATGAACATTTCTTTATATTACTTCACTAACGATTCGAAATTTCCCGAATTATAAAACAAAAATAAACGATTACAAAAGAAAAAAAAAATAAAATAAAATTCGAAAATTTCGATAGAGACTGAGGTGCACTTCCTCCTCCTCCTCCTCTCCTTTTCAAAATGGTAGACCTTGGTGTGACGTCACAGAATCGCTAGACCGAAACGCTTTCGCTTTCCTCTTATCCTCGTGGCAGTGGGCCGTCCTTGGCCACACAACAAACACACGAGGAGCACGTGCCCGGCGAGATGCACGACTTTCTACACTTGAGTCGCGTGATTGTACCTCGTGCCAGTGTTGGGTGTTAATTGTAGAGCTACCGTCGGTGCTAATGATGATCCACAGAATCGTCTCTCTCCTCTTCTTCTTCTGCTTCCTAACCTTCATTCTGGCAGGTAAGACAATTGATTTGTGTGTGTGTGTGTTGCTTACATAACTTTACATTGTTTAAAAATCCTCTAATTTAACCTTAAAGTCGTGTAAATTTCTATAGTTTCCTATGCACTTTCTGCTGGAAAACGGGGAGGATCCAGGGAATTCTAGTCCCTGGATCCAGGGAACATCTATTATTTGGTCTCATATTGTTTAGAATTCCCTAATTTAACCTTAAAGGGAA